GCTGAACCCCACTTGGCGCCATGCTGTAAAAAGTTGCCCCCCTCGTCTCCCCTCGTAAACTGTGGGGCCCCTCAAGGGGAGTCTGTTCTTGTCAGGGCCTGTCCTTTTAGTTTAACTTTAGGACTTCCCACTGTGGCCTGCCCGTTTCCTCATCTCCCTCTCCCCGTCTGGTTTCGAGCCTGCAGGTTGCAACCTTTATTCTTCCCGCCCACACTGCATTCCCGCTCTAGAGGAGCGGGCGGCGGGCCGCGAAACGGCTGAACCACCCTTGGCGCCGTGCTGTAAAAAGATTCCCCTCTCGCCTCCCCTTGTAAACTGTGGGGCCCCTCAGAGGAAAACCTATCCCTTCCTTTCCTCCTCCTCCTCTTCCTCCTCTTCCTTCTCTTCCTCCTTCTCCTCCTCCTCCGCCGCCTCCCGTCTAGCCATCGTCATCCTCTTTGGCCCTGCTCGGCGGTCTGCTCCTGCGAGGCGCGAGCCCACCGAAGTTTTCTTGTGCGAGGGAAGGTATGAAAGCGGGGGCCGAACGGTCTTACAGTCAAGACGAGGAATTGGAATTAAGGACCGCTTTGAGGCCATGAAGGGCTCCGGATGTGCGGGTCTGTGCGTGGCCGAAGTTCGCCATGGCCAGAAAAGCCACTCCGTTCCTTCTTCGGCGCTCTTTCTGGTAGCGCGGTCTTCCGGCAAGCTCGTGTCGCGTGGACCAGTGGAGACCCCGCTGCCAGCGTTCAACGTTGAGCGCCGCCAGCCACCCAGGATCGGTCGATTTTGAAAGATCTGACGTTTCGGAAACGACCGGTCGTTCGAGTTTGAAAGATCTCCGCAGCGTCAGGAACCAATGCCGAAGTCGGCACGACACGGACTTGCCGCATATTGTCCTCGGGTGCGCGGCTGATGTGAGACCTGTTGTTCTTGAGCCTTCAGGTCGGCGGCGCGCCGAAGAGGCAAGGCAGGTGGGGCCGGGCCTCTTCAGGTGGCCCTGAAGGCCTCCGACCTTCTGAAGGGCTCTCTCAGTCTTCTCCGGAGGCAGAGGCGGCTTCTCAGGAGGCTGGACGGCTTATGAGATGCCGCCTTCAGAGAGGGCTTGCCCCCTCTCACGCTCCTCTCTCGCGGCGCGCCGCCGATCATTCGGAGAGGGTGCGTTTGTTGATGCGGGTTGGCACCAGGACGATCTGGCAGGGGGAAACAATTAGTGAACACTCCCCCGCTCACCCAAATTTCAAAGCTGGCACGCGCGGGGAAGACTGCGGTCGAAGTGCAACCCATTTAACCCACCGCCAACATTGATCATGGGGGGGGGGATTGACAGATGCACGTGGCACGAGTGTTCGCTAATTTCTTCCCAAGCCTGTAGTCTGGGTGTGAGCGGCATCTGCTTTGAAAGCGAGGCTCACACCCCAGCGCGGTTTGATTCCCAAACTTGGTTGGTTAAGGCACAGCCACAAAAGCGTGTCCCGAGTCAGCAACCCTCACGAACTACTCGGGAATCCCTCTCTCGCTGAAGACTTCTCCTACAATTTAGTCAGACTCTGTGCTCTCGCCTGAGACGTCCTCGCAACTTACTCAGGCATCGCGCTCTCCCTCCCCAATCAGGAGTCGCGGTCTTACCTGGATACCTCTCTCCTCGACGCTGGCTCCCCGGCTGCTCCCATCCGTTAAGTTGCTGCCCTGCATCCCATCCCGCGGAGCTCCCTCATCTTCCCTTTTTACCTAACAGCGAAGACTGATAGGTTTCTAGTGGTGTCAAAAGAGAGCATCATGACTCCTCAGGGGGGTCTGGGCGGGACCCGGGGCGGCTGCCGCCGAAGCCGAAATCGCTTGGGACATCCTCGCGAAATCGCTCTTGGCGCTCCCAGAACTCCATTCCCGGGCCACATTTTGAATGCCCGGAGCCAACTGTAGGCCACTTCGTGCTCTTCGACTTCCCAGAACTCCATTCCCGGGCCACATTTTGGATGCCCGGAGCCAACTGTAGGCCACTTCGTGGTCTTCGAGTTCCCAGAACTCCATTCCCGGGCCACATTTTGGATGCCCGGAGCCAACTGTAGGCCACTTCGTGGTCTTCGAGTTCCCAGAACTCCATTCCTGGGCATGATTTTGAATGCCCGGAGCCAACTGTAGGCCACTTCGTGTTCTTCGAGTTCCCAGAACTCCATTCCCGGGCCACATTTTGAATGCTGAGGCAGGCTGAGGCTGAGGCTGAGGCAGGCTGAGGCTGAGGCAGGCTGAGGCTGAGGCCGAGGCTGAAGGCAGACTGAGGCTGAGGCTGAAGCAGGCTGAGGCTGAGGCTGAGGCAGGCTGAGGCTGAGGCTGAGGCAGGCTGATGCTGAGGCAGGCTGAGGCTGAGGCTGAGGCTGATGCAGGCTGAGGCTGAGGCTGAGGCTGAGAGGCTGAGGCAGACTGAGGCTGAGGCTGAGGCTGAGGCTGAGGCAGGCTGAGGCTGAGGCTGAGGCAGGCTGAGGCTGAGGCTGTGACTGTGACTGCCGTTGCCACTGCGACTGTCATCGCGAATGCGACTACGACTGCGAGAACAGCAGAATTCTAAAACTGGATTCTCATCTGAATCGTAAGGGGAATGCTTCCAGATATGCTCCTACACATCGCTGTTAGGTTGCTTTGCCGGGATAATTTCTTTTCGAATAACAAAAAGCGGCATGCAAAATAAGCTTTTGAAGCTCCGCGTGGACTTCCTGGATCTTTGCTGGGCCCCCCTGACGGCGCCAGGGGCGGCCGTTCCTCCCTTTCAATTCCCCCGTTCCTCCCTTTCTCCTTCCCACCTCCCGCACTCCCTCCCGCACCCCTCTCCGCATCCCGAATCCCCCAGGCATTACATAGTACTCGTGCACAGGGGTTCTTTCTCGTGCGTCTAAGGAGTTGTGAGAGTCTGCCGAGGTTTCGCCTGGCGGGCGGCCGTCGGCGACTCGTGGGCGCCCCGTGCGCTTGGCGGATCCGCCGAGGTTTCGCCCGGTGGGCGTCTCGTGGGCGCCCAGTGCGCTGGCCGGGTCTTCAGAGGTTTCGCTCGGTGGGCGGCCGTGGGCGCACAGTGCGCTGGCTGGGTCTGCCGAGGTGTCGCCCGGTGGGCGCCTCGTGGGCGCCTCGTATGCGCCCAGTGCGCCGGGCGGGTCTCCCGCTGTCTTGCCTGGCGGCCGCGGGAGCACCGTGGGCGTCTCGCGCTGCCTGCACTACAGTGCCCGCATCACATAGCTTGCAACACTTTGCCAACACCTCACAGCCTGAAGCCGCATAGATTGCACGGCACAGCTTTCACCCCGCAGCTCAAGCCACATAGTTTGCACCACATTGCGTGCACCACACGTTAGCTTGCACCTCACACAGCCTGCACCATATTGCTTGAGCTTGCACCGTGCACACAGTGCACCACATTGCTTGCAGCGCACGTAGCTTGCACCACATGTATTGCACAACACAGCCTACAGCTTGTGGCGCCGTGGCCGCGCGCGCAGCGACGCGGCGGAGTCAGGCAGCGATGTCGAGGAGCGCCCGAACGCTGCAGAAGGCCAGCTGCAGCCGGGCACTCCGGCAGCCCAGCGGGGCCACAGCACATAGCCTCTCCCCCCCGCCACACACACACACGCACGGCACGCACTTACGGCACGCATGCACGCACGCACGGCACGCACGGCACGCACGGCACGCACGGCACGCACGCACTGCACGCACGCACGCACAGCACGCACGGCACGCACGCACGCACACGCGCACCCGCACACACACACAGACACACAGACACACAGACACACACACACAGACGCACAGACACACACATACACATACACATACACATACACATACACATACACACACATACACGCACACGCACACACACACACACACACACACACACACACGCACACACGCACGCACGCCCGCACGCCCGCCCACGCCCACGCCCACGCCCACGCCCACGCACGCACGCACGCACGCACGGACACACACACACACACACACACACACACATTGCAGGAACTTGTGTAAGGTCCACGTGATCATCTGCGTAATTAGGCCTTCTCTTACCCCATCTGGGTTGACCCACGAGCTTTCTGAAGCCAGAGTCCGAGGGGATGCGTTCATAGAAGAGTGCGGGTGCAGGCGAGAGGGAGAAACATGTGAGGGTCAAAGGAATTGGTTACACCAGCTGTAAGTACGGTGGGGGCGTTGGTTAAGGAATGTGCGCAGGTCCAGCCCGCTTCGCCTGAGACATCCTCGCAAGTCGGGACTCCGGGATGCTGTGCGCGAGGTGGTCTGGTGCGTCTCGCCTGAAACATCCTCGCAACTCTGGGTTCCTTGAAGATGTGCGTGGTCCCACTCGTTTCGCTTGAAACATCCTTGCAACTCTGGGCTCTCAGAAAATGTGCGCGAGGTGGTCTGGCGCGTTTCGCTTGAGAAATCCTCACGAATGGACTCTGTTGCTGCCAGCAGTACTCCCCGCTCCGCGCCGCAAGGCACCCGCGACCCGCCCAGCGACCCGCCCGCAACCTGTCCCGCGATCCACCCGTGGCTCGCCTGGCGAGCCACCCGTGGCCGTCCCGTCGGCCCATCCGCATCCTTTCCCGCGTCAGGCCAGCCACCCGCGCACGACCCTCCTGCGACCCGCCGTGCGACCCGCCCGCGGTTCGCTCCGCGACCTGCTCGCACCCCGCCCGCGACGAGTGATCCGCCCGCGACCCGCGCCCGCTGTGACCCACCCGCGCAGGCCTGCGACGGGCTGCTTCTCACTGGCCTTGGCGAGCGCCACTGTGTGTTCCCGCCCTCGCGACCCGTTGACGCCCCGCACCGCGACCCACCCACGTGGTCTTGAATCAGAGCATCTGCGCTTGCGGGAGGCTGTTTTACGTGCGGCGTCGTGCGACCCGCCCACGACCCGCGCCCTCTCACTCTTCTCCGCAAGTGCGGGATGCTACGTACGCGTGCTTACACTGAGTCAAGTTCTTTCCCGAAGTATCCCGTCGCTGTCGTCCCCCTCCTCCCGAAGAGGTTGAGCCATGGCCAGTGCCCCCAACAACGGAGCGGCATCTGCCGAGGGCCAGGCGTCTAAGTCCTCTAGGGCGCCGCCGCCTGGCGGCTTCTCGCTGAGATCGCAGGCCCAGACGCGCGAGAAGAAGAACTGGCTGCTCAACCTACTGTACGTGCGGCAGGAGTTCAAGGAGTGCCTGGAGGTAGTCGAGGAGCAGCTGCGCGAGTCCAACGGTATGTGCGAGTACGCTATATACGTGAAGGCGCTCATCCGTCGGCAGGAGGGCCAGGTGCAGGAGTCGCTGCAGCTGTTCCAGGCCTTCGCACGGGCGAGCGAAGAGAGGACAGGGGCAGGAGGAGGAGGAGGAGGAGGAGGAGTCACTGCTGCGTCCATCCCAGGCTGCGACGTGCATAAACCCACGCAACGTGCACAACCTGAAGCAGGTGGGCCGCAGCCTCTACCTGCTCGGCAAGCACGGCGCAGCCATCGAGGTGTATGACGAGGCCCAGAGACTTTCGCCAGACGACTGGGAGATATCCAGCTGCCTGCGGCAAGTGCCGCCACAGTGCGAGCCCAGTGCTCTCGGAGGCAACTGTTCGAGGGGAGACAGGAGGACACGACGAGACGAGGAGGGGGTCGATGCATGAGGGTGGGTCCAGCCCTGGGGGCGGGTGGTCTTGGGGAATGGTATTGGGTCTCTACCAGACAAACCCTGCCAGTCTACCACGCTGCAACCTTCCAGAGGGCACGGTGGCGGATGGCACAACAAGGGCTTGTGCCACATGTACTTGAGGCAGTACGAGAACTGCGTGGACTGCTTCACGAAGGCGAACGCCATCCAGCGACACGACGTGACCTTCATGCAGCTGGGCAAGGTTTTCGCAGTGCAGGAGGACTACAAGTCGGCCATCGACGTGTACACCGAGGCGCTAGAGTTCTCTCCCGAGAACGCTGAGCTGCTGACGACACTGGGCATCCTGTATCTGAGGGAGCGCGACAACATGAAGGCGTTCGAGTATCTTGGCAACGCCCTCACCCACGACCCAAAGAATGCCAAGACTATCCTGGCTGCGGGATCGATCATCCAGGACCACTCCGACATGGACGTGGCCCTTGTCAAGTACCGGGTGGCGGCCGTTCAGACCCCGAACTCCGCCCAGTTGTGGAACAACGTGGGCATGTGCTTCTTCGGCAAGACCAAGTATGTCGCAGCCATCGCTTGCCTGAAGAGAGCCCTGTACCTCGATCCTTTCGAGTGGATCATCTCATATAATTTGGGCTTGGTGCACTTGAGCACCGGCCAGTATGCGTCTGCTTTCCATTTCTTTTCTGCCAGCATCAACTTAAAGCCAGATTGGCCTTCGTCCTACATGTACCTCGCCATCACCCTGTCCCGCCTCGAGGACTTCGCCAACGCATGCAGCGCATACGAGAAAGCGATAGATATGGACACAGATCACATGTTCCACCTCAATTTCGCAATAACGCTGCTGAACAACGGCGACACCGTGGAGGCCAGGAAGCAACTTACGGGAGGGATGGGGGCGGGAAGGAGAGGAAAGAGGGACGAGGGGAGGGGAGGGGAGGGACGCTGCGGAGGCTAGAAATCAGTTCGCGTTGTTCGAGACCGCCTTCTCGCAGCTGGACGAGGAACAAAGGGTCGCCACCCTCAGCCCTGGGACCCCCGTAGGGTCCTTCACCTTGCCCTCGTCCTCGCTCGGCTCCTGCTCGTCTTCGTCCTTCTCGTCCTCACCGTCCTCCGTTGACATTTGAGCTCGAGCCCGGCTTGCGACGGCTATCCTAGTTCTTAGTTGCATGTTTCATTTCGTGAGCGGCGCGTTTTCCAAACATGTGGACGCTTGATGTCATGGTGCTGGCTATCGCCATTGGCGCACGTCTTTCTTTTTTGACGAAGCGGGCGCTTCCACCCCCCTTATGCGCTCATGATGATATCGCAGTCCCGTGTGCGCGTCATTCTTGCAAACTTTCCCAGATGCACGCATGTCACCGAGGAAGCGCATGGCCATTCCCGTCCCGATCAGGTCTGTAGTTTTCTTCGTCTCGGTAGTGCTGATGCTGCACGCAGTTGTGGGTGCACCAACCGCGAGCAACGTCCATGTCTGCGCCCAGTTTCAGAGGAGGTCAAGGTACCCATCAGGCCCGTAGACCCCACGCTGCCGAGGAGCTCGCGCTCTCGCACCTCGAGCGTGATGAGCCAGATTGCGGAGCTGCCTCTTCTTCCTGCACGCCTGGAGCAGTGTGAAGAAGGCAGCCTTGAAGATGTCCACAGCTACGGCAGGTTCGCGTCGTGTCGGCGCAGCGGCGACCCCGGCGCGGGAGCTCGAGATTGAACGCCGGCAGTGGCCCAGAATCGGCCAGGACCGAACGACCTGGCGGTCGTAGAGCCGCCGATCGTTCAAGGTTGGTCGATCCACGCGGTTGCGGCAACTGACGCCGAGGTCGTCACTGGACAAACCCACCGTACCCGAGCAGTTGTGCGCGCACCAGCAGGGCAGTGACGCCGCGCTGCGGTCGCTCGAGAAGCAGGACAAGGAGATTGCAGCAGGGAGGGTGGACGAGGTTGCTCTGCCTCTTCTTCCGCCTCCTCGGCATGAGCCGCTGCACCCTTGAAGGGTCCGATCGAGAGAGAACAAGAAGAGGAACCGACGCGAGGAGCTCACTGTCGACGCGGGCGAGCCCCAGCATGCTCATACTGCCTCGGGGTGCAGTTGCGATGGAAGATTGCAGAACTCGAGAAAGGAACAACTGCATCACCGTAAACTTTCGGAGCTCCGCGCGGACTTCCGATATGGTTATGACGTTTTGTGTTTCTCTAATAAAGTGGAAGCGGGGAAACGAGCAGTTGAACTTACCAGCCTGTGCCTGAAATCTCCGAGCAGGAGGAGAGCGAGCAGCTGGATGCCGCAAAAGATCTTGGCCCTGCTGCTGCTGAGGCGGGTGACGAGGCCGATGCGATCTTCCGGGAGGTCATCCTGTTGACTGTGAAAGAACCCATGAGACAACATTGGGCAGAATATCCATCCGACATGGCGGTTGCGTGCGAAAGTAACGTCATGCCCACAGTTGACTGGCCGCTAACGCCGATGGAGCGCGCAGAGTGGAGCTCCGACCGCAATTCTTATGACTGTGTTCACCACTGCCGTGATTATGAATATCGCCAAGCAGCGAGAGATTGATGCACACATTAGTCTGCTGCGAGCCCAGGGGCTGGGGGGAAGTGACAGGGGGCAGGCCTTCTCAGAAGGCGGCAAGGCTTCTCGGAAGCCCTGGGGCCTTCCGAGAAGCCGCCTGCGTCTTCGGAGAAGGCTTAGAATGCTTCGGAGATGGCCGGAGGCCTTCTGAGCCTCATGAGAGGGCACGGCCCCTCTGCCTTGAAAGCTACGATGTCCAGTGAGGCCTCCCTCTCTCGCCGGGCACTACTCCTCCTCCTCCTCCTCTTCCTCCTCCTCATCCTCCTCCTCCTCCTCGTTTTCCTTCTCCACCTCATCCTCTTGCTCGTCGTCTGCGTCTTTGTCTCGTCATCGTCCTCGTCCTCGTCCTCGTCCTCTGTCCTCGTCGTCGTCGTCGTCATCCTCGTCCTCTTCCTTGTCCTCGTCGTTCTCGTCGTCGTGCTTGTCGCAAAATCCTCATCGTCGTCGTCCTCGTCGTCGCGCTCGTCGCAAATCCTCATCCTCGTCGTCCTCGTCCTCGTCCTCGTCCTCGTCGTCGTCGTCGTCTCCTGCCCGTGCCGAGGAGCAGAAGGGCGCCGACCCGGAGGTCCAGGAGCAGCGGCAGCTGCTGCAGGGACTGCTCTCCGCCGCCAAGTAGCGCGCACCGCGGCCCTGCTGGCGTCGGGGCCCCTTGCCTCGCGGTGGGCGCCAGTCGCCATGAGTCGGCGACTACAATGGGTGTGGTTGCGCCGGGGTGTGGTGCGCGATCGGCGCCGTTGGGGATTAGCGGGTCACCACGTTGCGCCAAGTTTTTGATGAGCCCTCGTCGGGGCGCGGCAGATATCTCTGTCGAGGTCCTCGCCCGCCCCCCCAGGCGCGGGTCGCCAGCCACACCCTTTGCAAAGAACGCCCCTCGGAATCGCCGAATGAAGCTGGGCTGCGCTCAGACAGCCCCCCGGGTAGTCCTGGCTGGCCTCAAGAGGTCCCCCGAGTAGTCTGAGGCGGTCTTAACACCTTCGCGCCGCCTGCACCGGAGCCTTGGGACGCTCCGCGCCCCAGGGTTGAGGTGTTGAGACCGCTTTTGGCTACTCGGGGGGCCTGTTGAGGCCAGCCGGCGCTACCTTGGTCGGCTGTCTGTTCGCAGCCCGCAGTCTTGCCACATGAAGCCGACGGGTCCTGAGGGAAACGGGTCCTGAGGTTTCTCGCCGCTTTGGGCTCCTCGGAGCCCTTCACGTGCTCCGGGACTGCCAGACAGCGATCAGGACGAAGAGCTGGTCCCAGGGAAGGCCCCTGGATTTCCAGGGCCCGCGTCCCTCGGGGCCCGCTTGCTTCATGCCAAGGCAGGGCCCCAACAGAAGCCAGGACTCTGCACGCCAGTACTTCGCCAGACCCAGCCGGCAAATAACGCAGGATGGAGAACGTTTCGGCCCAGGCCTGCACTGCTGGAATCTGTCCACATTCTCCGTTTCGGAGTCGTGCCTTGGGATCTCGAGGAGTCGTGGATATTACCCCAAGTCCCCGGGACACGATCCCGCGGCAGTGGATGTGGGCGTATTTTGTCTGCGCAGTACTCTTGCAGCTTTACCGTGCGTGCCAGTGCCCTGGTTGATCAAAAGTCCCCGTGTACGGGGCCCTGAGGACGAGGTTTCGCGCTCCCGCGCGCATCTCCCTGCCTCTCCCGCTGCTGCTCCACCTCCTCCTGCTCCTCCCTCTTCTGCTGTTCCTCCTGCTCTTCCTCCTCCTCCTCCTCCTCCTCCTCCTCCTCCTCCTCATGCTGCTGCTTCTCCTCCTCCTCCTCCTCCTCTTTTTCCTCCTCCTCCTCCTCCCGCCGTAGCCATTTTGGCTCAAGCCATTTTGGCTCAAGCCATTTCGGCTAAGAGTCACAGGCTCAAGCAATTTCGCCTGGGCTCGGAAGGGCGGGCGCGATCGGCGGCCGCCGCCCAGCTTGCACCGGCGTGCTTCGAAATGGCCCGTCGGTGCGAGCCATCACATGGCTTGGGAGCCACCGTCCAGAGGCGCCTGGTGCGCCGGTTGTGGCTGCGCGTGCTGGCCGGCAAGCGTGGTGCCGCTCATCGGCGTGGTCCTGCACAAGTGGTCGCACGAGCAGGGGCTGGCCGATGCCTCGCAACCTGCCCCTCGGCATCAGTGCGGCGGATGGGAGGAGGCGGGGTTGCGAGGTCCTCGCCGTGCTTCCTGGGCAGTCGGCATCAGAGATGAAGGTCGTGAAGGATGAACTGGGCCCTGGGGCTTCCTGGGGCGGCGCCGCTGGAGCTGCCCCTCGGCGGCGCTTGGGCGCACCTCCGGGAGTCGCGGTCGTGGTGAAGAAGGGCGCTGGCGTGAAGGTGGACTCCGACGCGCAGGGCACGGACGACTGGCACACGGAGAAGGTCGTGAAGGAGGATGTGAGAGGCACAGGCGCTGGGGCTTCTTGGGGCGGCGCCGTTGGAGCTGCTCTCGGCGGCGCGTGGGCGCACCTCCGGACGTCGCGGTCGTGGAGAAGAAGGGTGGTGGCGCGAAGGCGAACTGCGACGCGCAGGGCGCGTGCGACTGGCACACCACATCGAGGCGGCGCAGGGGAAATTCCAAGTACTGGCAGCCGCTGGGATTTGGCTCAGCGCGCGGCGGCCGCGGAGGCGGCCCGCTGGGACACGCAACGCATGAAGGACGGCAGGGAGCGCTGGGCGGCTACGTCGGTGCAAAAGCACTTCAGGGGCCACCTGGCGAGGCGCGGACTTGGAAGCACGGCGGCTGAGGCCAGCAGCTACCCAGATTCCGCCCTGTGTGATCAGGAACAGCTCGTCGGTGCAGGCGGCGGCGAGGACGAGGACGCCATCCTCGACGATCGAGATGGAACGCGAAGCGCTGGGGGCAGCCATGCCCCCAGCGCAGACCGCCGCCAGCAAGCAGGCTCGGCGGCGGAAGCAGAAGGAGACATAAGGAGACGAAGGCTGCCAAGGCGGAGCTCGGTGCGAGGTCGAGGCGGGCAGGGAGCGCCTGGCCGCCAGGCGCGCCGAGTTGGCAGCTGCCGCGGCCGCATTGGCTGATACGACCGCGGAGATGGAGATGCACGTGACCGACGTGGAGGCGCTGGGCGCCAACGACGGGGACCACGAGGTGGAGCCAGCAGGTCCTCTCGGCATGAGCGTTGCGGGGTGCGGGGAAGGGGAGGGGGACCATCCGCTTGCCCGCCCTCCCCACCGCGGCCCCTGCCCCTCGGGAGGGGGGCCGCGTGTTGGGAGGTCCTGGCCTGGGTCGCCACCGTGCGAGCGGGGGTGCCTCTCCCCATTTCGGCCGCTGCGGCGGCAGGGCGCAGTGCTCGGACTGCGTCTCATGCCCCGTTGCCCCATTCCCATTCCCTCCCTCCCTTCCTCCCTCCCTCCCTCCATCCCTTTCTTCCCTTCTCTCCTTAATGTATTTCGGCCTGAGGCTGGCGCCATCTGGTGCCAGGTGCGCGGTCCGAGGCAGCAGGGCCTGCATCATGAGCGGCGGCGGGAGTGCATCGTAAGACCCGTGGCTACGAATGTAAGTCAATGGCATCATGTCCAGCCATCGCACCCACCGCACCAGCGCCCACGGATGCCAGGGTGAAGCTATTCCACAAGAAGTACTTCAATACAGTGAGCCACAGAACCGAACCGACAGAGGGCGAACCGACGGAACTGGAACCCGTCAGAAACCCGACGTGAAGCGAAACCAAACCGAACTGGAGGCGGTGGAACCGAACCGGGCCCGAACCGGGAACCGGTCGTGGAGGTGGACCCTTGGGAACTGCCCGATGCGAGCGCCCACCTCCTGCGCTAGGTCCATCCCACCCGCTCCCAACTCCTTCCCTGCGCCCCCGAGTTCCCTCGTCCTGTTTTGCTGCTTGTCCAGGGCCGAACTGGGGACGGAAGGGCGGCGGAAAAGCTCAAATCGCATTTTTGGACGGTTCGAAAATGCGTTTTGGGCCTCCAGGTGGTTTTCGGAGCCTCCAAGGCTGCTCTGGGGATGGCAGGGCGGCGGAAAAGCTCAAATCGCATTTTTGGACGGTTCGAAAATTCGTTTTGGGCCTCCAGGTGGTTTTCGGGGCCTCCAGGGCTGCACTGGGGATGGAAGGGCGGCGGAAAAGCTCAAATCGCATTTTTGGACGGTTCGAAAATGCACTTTGGGCTTCCAGGTGTCCTCGGGGCCACCAGGGCCGAACTGGGGACGGCGGCCAGGGCTGGGCCCCCACCATCCTGCGCGCGCCCGGTGAGGGCGCGGGCGGCGCCCGTGCCTTCCCAGTTGTCCTTTGGGATGACGCATGCCAGGAGTGAGTGGTCCGTACTGTCCCAGACCGTAGTCCAAGCGTTTTCTATCCTGGCGCTGAGGAATCGCCCGCTGTCGCCAGAGCCCCCTGGTCCAGGGGGCACGATGCTGTCGACTGGTCCGTCGAGGGCACCATGCGTAACATCTGGGCCCAGTGGCTCCCCTGGCTCGTCGGGTAGCTGGGCCCAGTGGCCCCCCTGGCCCCAGGGTTCCTTCTGACTCCTGGTTGAACTGAACCTCCAAACGCCTCCATATGATCATGTAGACGCACACGCGCACACGTCATCTGCAAGAACCGAGAACCGAAATGGAACCGGCTGAAACGGAACCGCCCTCTGAATGGGAACCGCCTCAAACAGCTCCGAAACCGGAACCGTCTTGAACCGAGCCAATTTCCCCCGAACGGAAACGAACCGAACGGAACCGAGGACACGCTTACTTCTAGCTCGAGGAGGTCTCGGCAACATGTCTCGCAGCAGTCCCAACACCAAAAGTACCCGTCCAAATTCCCCAGGCCAGAAGCCACAGGATACAGTGGCCGAACTCAACGGGGTCCAGAAGCCGCGAGACAAGCTCGCCAAGCAGCTACAGCGAGCCACTGGATACCGAGACGAAGTCCTCAAGAAGATTGGCGGCAAAGCTGGCGCCATGGGGTGCGCCAAAACAGTTCCGACGAGGCAAAGGCAGCAGTGGGAGGAGCAGAAAAGGGGCAATCACACGCTTCCCAAGAGAAGCGAGCTAATGACGACGATGACGGTGACGGCGATGACGATGCTGCTGATGATGCTGATGATGCTGATGATGCTGCTGATGATGCTGCTGATGATGATGCTGATGATGCTGCTGCTGATGATGATGTTGGTGATGATGGTGATGGTGATGATGATGATGATGATGATGATGATGATGATGATGCTGATGCTGATGCTGATGCTGATGATGATGGTGATGATGATGATGATGATGATGATGATGATGATGGTGGTGATGATGATGATGGTGATGGTGATGGTGATGGTGATGGTGATAGTGATGATGATGATGATGATGATGATGATGATGATGATGGTGGTGATGGTGATGGTGATGGTGATGGTGATGATGATGATGATGATGATGATGATGATGATGGTGATGGTGATGGTGATGGTGATGGTGATGGTGATGGTGATGGTGATGAGCAGTAGGATGATGAGGGGTGAGCAGGAGGATGATGATTTTGAATTCCCGCCACTCTCGCAACGGAGCCTTTTCCTCGTGGACGCCACGAAGAGGGCCAAGTACGAGATCATCCATGCGGAGTGCACGAGGGCACGCAGTTGCACACCAAAAAAAAGGGAGGCAGTCCAGAATGCAAGGAAGGCGCCTGAC